GATATTTGATGGTTTTAAAACTAAAAACATTATTTGAATTAATTTGATTAAAAGAGCTTTCACTTAAATGTCTCATTGCAACTTTCAATGGCTTCAGAAGGGCCACTGAAAAATTAGAGCAATTTATCTCAGCAATTTTTTTGAAAACTCTTGTGAAGAATTTTCCAGGTGCAAGCTATGGAATAACTATGAATGTACTAGAAGTTTGACAGGCCTGAACAACTTAGAGTAATGATAAATTAAAAATGAATAGCAACATGCAAATAGGTATTCTGCATTATTATAAGTGCTAAAAAGGTCAAATACTTAAGTGAAAACTTTTCACAAATAACCACATTAATTATGCAGTCAGTTATGAATGTATGTCATTCATCCACAGAAGTTTCACACGTMTACAAAACCAGTTTCATGGAAGGGCTGAGCAATACCTGTCAGCTACAGCTGCATTAGCAACAGCATGGGCAATAAAACTGGGCCTGTACAGTGAAAGACACTTCAAGGACATTCCATATGTTCCAGGGGCTTTCTACTTTGCACTGGTTCTCAGATGTAATCTCAAAGACTGAAGGCTTACTAGTGGCTGGAGTATATTAGGCACATTCCCGCAGCTTTTAGATTATTTCGTGCAAAAGGAATTCCACTCAGGTCACTCCCTAGGATCACTCCATAATGCAAATCAAAGTGGTGGTGAACAGATGTACTTCAAAATTGCATGGCTGATCCAAATAAAAACCGTAGGATAACACACTCATTACTGGATGTTTCTTACTAGGAAAAAAAAAGAAAGTGTTTAAAGCAAAGAGAAATCTAACTTCTGAGAAGAATTACTGTGATAAAAAGTAAAGCTGTGGTATAAGATGGAACACAAATATTTCAAAACAAGATAGACAACCATTACAGTCAACTCTATGAARTACAAGTCTATCACACTCATGTGGGCATGAATCACTTTACTGGAATGGTATGCACCTTAAACTGAAAGCAGACATGYATTTTTATGACAAACTAGAGTCTGACAGCTATTTACCAAAGTTTTAGGTATTTTAGTCAGTAATAGTCAATAAATGCCTCAGTACTGGCACACAGCAATGAAACAAATTAAYACAGGTTCTCTCAACTCCTGTCAGATAGCAAGAGGGAACACAATTATAGAAGAAATATTTGGTAARTTTGAGCAATCTGAGTACACTGGGTAACAGTTAAAAATATATTACTCATAACACTGCTGGTAAAGTAGAATAATTATTTTGATAGCAATCACTGTTGCCTCAAGAGCATCCAAATATTCCCTGCATTAAGTCCTTTGTCACCCAATCTCATCTAGTCATCGGATTCCTTTAGTGTTCCTCATCATGAAAACAGTTAAGCACAGAAAATATGAAGAAATTTGAATTACATTCTTGAAGAGGAGCACTTTGTACATTTTCTGAATGGAAGTATTAGTTGCTGCATGTGGTTTCCTGAGATATCAAATCAGAACTGCATCTCCATCCCTCAACAATGAGATGATTTGCACCAGAGAGAGGTCACTTACAGAATTCAACCCTTGATATGTCTACAAGACTTCCCCATCYTCCTACTCCACCCCATAAAAATAAAAAATCCTAGTGGATTTCCATCATCTAAAGAATTATTACAGTGAAACTGTCAGTCTCAATTTCATAATGAATTTTTAATTATTATAATTATTGGTTTTATTTTCTTTCTTAATTGAGAACACTAAATATTATTCCTTTGTTATTCTAGGTTACAGTTAATTACCAATAAATAAAGATAAAAGCATTCCCAATATTTTATAGAYGGCAGTCCTACATTTTCTAAAATGTGGCCTGATTCTCTAAATGTAGTTACATGTCCACTGAATTTTTCTCTTGTATTCCATGGTTTATTCAAATGCAGAGGATTCAATTAAAAAAAAGTCTACCCATAGTCCAGGCAATAATCACACCATAACCTCTAACAGAGGAAACATTTTCCTTAAAGCAGAGAGTCGAATGGTCACTAATTGTCACATTCCTTCCTTAGGGACATTATTTTTGCACCTAGCAGTTGASAAAYACCTGATCAYAACTAAATTAAAGTGGTCCAAGAASGGACATGACACTATTCACTGACTACATCATACATGTAGATGSAATCATAATTTGGTTMCAAGGTCCACAAAYTACAGAAGAGGGCATAACCAGGATCTTGAACAAGAGTGCACAAGTAGAGCTACAATTTTGGAAGGATGTGGCAGAAATTAATGTGCTTGCAGAAATTAGGTGAAACCTTCCATCSTGCAGTGTCTCTTAGAGCAGCAGACTCCACTGACACAGATCATGGTTTAAAGACTGCAGCTGAATATTCACATTGCCACAAAAGAAGATACTATGATTTCATGTTCCCTCTCACAGCACACTAAYGGTGGAAGGGTGACACCCAGTATTCACACTGATATTTACGCATTTATTCAAAAATGAACTAACAAGGCGTAACAGTGATGGCAGATGCTGAGAGAGCGTATTGGTTAACGTAAGACAGAAAAATTCTTTTAAATTGTGAAAGCCAGAGCATGCCACATCTGGAGGCCAAACTATGTCTTTACCTAGTTTTCACCATGTCCACAACTGCTATCTACCTAGGCTTTATTATGTTTCTGTGAATTTTAATTAGGTTTGGGATAGCTATTTTTGAATATTCRAAATTCAATTGAAGCTTCTTTTCCTTTCATGGAAAAATACAATTAATCTYCAGCATCTGAATGTATGTGATAGCAAGCAAAAGAGCACTTTGTAGGTCTGTATYTTTTGATGATACCTCATAGAACTACAGAAGAGGAGAAGTTCACTCCCAGGATATAAGGTATTTATAYCAGTTAAACAAATATACAAAGCACATTAAAGTATGCTGTTAGAAATCAGAAACTTCTTCTCATTAGAATGCATTTAATACTTTATTATACATACAAGACAAGCTGCCTTTTTCTGATTAAGGAATGTTTAATTCTAGGTCAACACAGATTTCAAGTATCTCACTGTAAATATGTGAAGTCATTTATAGGTCAGTAATACAAATTTCAATCAAAGCTTTTAAAATTATCACCAAATTCTAGAGAAGTCAGTGTAATTTTGGATGTCCTGAGGGTAGAATAGAAGGATAGGGGCTKTTGAAAGTCCCAGACATACTATCTTCATTTTTCAGCCCTGGAATATTTGAATTACCTTACCCTGTAACCACACACTGCAAAGCTGACAACAGAAATTCTGGAATATAGACTGGAAATGTTATGAACTCACCTCTTCCTCTTTCCACCCCCACTTCCCCAACAGACTTAGACTAGAAAAAAAGCAACAAATATCCACATTAAAAATTCATATTATGCTTAAAYCTAAGTTCATTAGAATACAAGTTATGTACTTGAATGCTGAATTCTGCTAAAATCCAGCCTTGTCTTTATGGGGACAGTATACAAGCTTTAAAATTGAGCATGTGCCTTGATAGGTGTGGCCAGTGAGGAAACSATAATCATTATGCTTGCCAGTACCTTACTGATCCCTAAGAAAGCTGCAAGGTTAAATGGTGTCATTCAGATTTTCTGTACATTACTTGTCAGGGACAGACCAGTATTTGTTTCCTTACATTTCATTTTTAAAAAGGAGCATGTATTTACAATCACACATAAGACTTTCACTTCATAGTGAAAACTCAGTTTGAAGTAGCACTGGGAGAGWGAGGCCACTTTCCACGCTAGGTAGTTCACTGACTTATAATTTCAGTAACTTTGATGTATGGCCTACATGCAGAATGTAACCAGTACAGCCAGTTGACTACATGACAGATACAAACAACACACAGAGAAGAAACTCATATTACAAGTACTAATGGTTCAGGTAAAAATGTGCAGTTCAGCTCCACAAGCTTGATCTTCTGCATTTAATATTTTTTATTATTGTTTTTTACTGTTTAGAAGTTGTGAGTCATTCTCTAGAACCAAAAAAAAAAAACAACAAAAAAAACCAAAAAAACCCCACAACCAACAATAAGCCAACTTGCTGTCTGCCTGCCAAAACATTTTTCACTTAGCTACAGATAATTTCTGGTTTCTGAAATGAGTCTTCAACTTTGATTACACATAGCTATTGATTTTCCTAGTCACAAAAACAAGACTCCCTCTTAATCCACAGTTGCACAACTGTGTTACCAGGCTCTGCTCCAGTTAACCAGTTATGAATAAAGTTACAGTTCTTGAACAAGATTATTTGYCTGTTTTTCTGAAACTTTTTATACTCCTGTCAAAGTTCTGGAAAACCATAGCTGTAAACAAATAAACAAAGAAAAGTCTCATCTTCACACACCAGGACCTGACAGGCATTCTTTCCAATTTTGAGGATAACCTGCAATATACCTTGTCAAACTTCCTTACATGAAAGTGATCAGAGTATCAATGTATTTTGTTCAAAAGCAAATAAAACATAGCTTAAAGAATTTATCTTTAATGAATGTACTTTTAAACAACCTTTTGAACAGCTGATATGAAACAAGTCATAKTCTCCAAAACTGGTTTTAGCTACAGCATCACAGAGTAATGTAAGAAAAAAAACAGCAAGTGACCTCCAACCTGAACAACGCTCTTGCTATTGGATCAACYTTCCATAATTTATTGCAAGACCTRGAAGGAGAGCTTTACAGGAAAGAATTTCTAAACATAAACACAAAGCTGAGGAAAACAACAGTGATTTTTAAGGGCCAACATTCCCCCTCTGAATGACTGCATTTTTTCAAGTAATGAAAATCAGTGCTGAGAGCAGTGCATTTTTTTGTTCCTTTTTGCTTTTTTTTTCATTTTTATATGGGCATTTTGGGTTAAAACAATGAAAGTGGTGAAGTGAAAGTGCTGCAGAATACACTRAAGAGGGGAGGGTAAAGAGAAGAGGAGTTAAAACCCACAAATCAGATCGGTAAATGTATCATTCAAATAGAAGGCGCAACAATTACAGAGAAACTTTAAAGCAACTTACCTCGAGGGAGAGAGATCAAAGAGCTGTTTTCAGTCGGAGCTTGCTCTGGCCCTCCAGGCCCCGGAGGAAGAGGTTCTCTCACTTGGGACATCTGCCAGCTCTCTCGCCGAGTAACAGAGAGCCTGCACCCCTCTCCAACAAAACTAACACGCGACCCTGAAGGAACAAGCAAATGAAAGGACTCGTTAATGTATTTTATGCAGAAAACTCACGGCTCTGGGCGAGGGAMTGTAGAGGGACAGTAAGGAAGCGGCAGCAACTTTGCGACGCGGCGGCGGGCGCGCCCCCCGCCGCCTGCAGCGAGTACCCGCGGGGCCGGGGGGCGGCGGCCGCGGGGCGGGAGCGGTAGCGGGCCCGGAGCCGGGGCCGGGCGGCCGCGGGGGTGCCGGGGGTACCCGTCCGCAGCGGCGGAGCCGGCCAGCAGCGCGGAGCGCCTACCTTCGCATTTCCTCCCGCTCCGCCCGGCCCTGCGCCGCGCCCCGGCCGCTGGAGCCTTCGCGCCGCTCCCGCTCCGCCGCCGCCTCAGCCGGCAGCCGCCTCCTCCCGCCCGCGGGCCTTCCCCCGCGCAGTGGCGCGTACAGCCTGGCACTCGCACCGCCTGTCCCACCGCCGCCGCAGTCACTCCTTCTCCATCATTTCCGGACAATGAAACATCCCGCTCCGGCTGGCGGCGGCCGCGGCTCGGGGCGGCGGTTGTGCAGGTCCCGCCGCCCGCCAGCGACGAGCCCGCGGGCTGGGCAGGRCTGGGCTGTGCGGGGCGCCTCGCTGCCCCCAGCCCCCGGTCGGGCCTCCAGCCATGAAAATTCCCCCAGGAGACCGTAACCCGTCAGACAGAAGTAGGCAAGAAGGGGAAAAAACTCAGGAGACTGTGAAAGGCAGGCTTTCCGCCCGGGCAGGGTTTGCAGCTGCAGCGCTGGCAGCGGAGCGGGGCACGCTGCATGGCGCAGCCGCTGGCTCCGAGWTGGCCGCGGTGTCACGGATCGGCCGCCACCAGTTGCGCCTCGGCCGGGGAGCTGCACGTGGAGCCGCAGGCCCGCTGCCCTCCGGCCTGTGCACCCTCCGCGGGCCCTGCTGGCACGGCCGGCCTGCCTGCCCCTGCCCCGGCTGGTAACCTGCACATAGATCCATTTAATGGACTYCACAGCGGGCACACAGAAGTATTCAAAGAACACGAAGACTAGAACAAAAAGTAGAATTCTAGAGTGCTAACTTCTTCCTCTGTGCCATCTGCCGAGCGGTGATACCTGAACTGTCTCCATATACGAAATATGTTTCCTTCCTATGGCACAGTCTGATGAGGTCATCAGTTTCATGCTCTGTTCTTGCCCACACCATGGGGTACTGAAATTGTTCTTCACACATGCTTTTCCTTATTTACTCTATCACAGTATGTCCCTTTCTCAATTGAAGTGTGTCCATATTTTAAAAGATACTTCCCTTAAAATTTGCAAGCATTTTTTTTTATTATGGTTTAGTAAATATGCTGGCTTTACTGGTATGTCTCATTACATGACACAGTGACACAGTTAGATGTATTTCTGGGAAACAAAAGTAGGAAGATAAAATATGCAAATTATAGACTATCAGCATCCTAACATAAGATGGATATTTATTTTGATATCTTAAGGAAAATGCACAGGTATTAAAAGTTAACTTGTTAAAGTTTAGCCTTTTCCTGACATGCTTGCAGAACAACCAGGATAAAGTGTAAATATCTGACTAGGAGCCAGTTCTGTGGGAACTCCACACCCTTCAGGGCTAACTCTTATTTCAGAAGTCATCAGTACTTTCGCACCACTGTRCAGCTTTATTGTTGTCATTGCTGGTGCAATGCATATACTTTCTCTGAAAAMTACTATAATTTGAAAGTATTTCAGTAACCTAAGATGATTTTTGCTGCAGCTTAGTCTGTCTTTAAACATTTATATGGGAAAATGGAGGAAAAACAAGATGTTTTCTGTTGGAAAGAAGCTGTGTAAAAAAAAAAAAAATCCATTTGGGGCACCCAAAGCTATTATTTTACTGTGTAATAATAATATTGGTCTCAATGTCTACATTTACCATCTATGAAAACATTGCATAACTTTCCACAGTCCCCTCCTTGCTGTACTGGGGGCAGAGTGATCAAGACATAAGGTAGAATGACTTACCTCAAACTCCCAAGTGAGTCAGTAGCAGAAGAAAGGTTATGACTCACTCAACATACAAGCTTGTGTTTTTCCCTCTGAAACTGGAAACATAGAAGAGAGCTGTGGGAGGAGCAATAATTTGGCCAACCACACCCTGCTTCCAAAATATTTCATTGGATAATAAATGCCTATGAAGAGCTGATACCACCCRGTGTTGGTATTTTGGTGGGGTTTTTTAACCTTATCTATGAAACCCACATGGTAAACTCCATGACGTTCAGTTTATCTGTTTTAAAAAGATGATGGAATGAACTCACCCTGACATGGTTCAGTTGCAGAGTTTAAAGCAACTGAGTGAATTTACAGAACCTGCAGCAGACATTACAACTGATGCAGTTGGATCAGTTAGTCCTAAACAGAATCACATGTAGAAAAGGTAAGAGAAATCAAGACATGAAAAGCACAATTCACTGAAATAGTATTAAAAATATTGGGCAATACACAACACATGATGCACCAAAGGCTGTGATTGTAAAAAGATCGGTCCAGATGCGGGTCCTGTTAAYGAGATACCACAGATAGGCAAAGCTCATTGGCATAAGCACTTCCTGACAGTGCAACTTCTAACAAATACTCAGCAAATCTAAAATATCGTTGTACTGCTTTCCTGTAAAATGTGTATCATTCTGAAATATTATGGAAAAGTCTCCGAAAGTGAGCAGTTCAGATACTAACAGCAGCAGCCTTTTAAGTAGGCTACAAATTTGAGATATACTGTGTCTTACTGTAGCTACTGAGTTACAGGCTGTTGCACATATGCATTCCAATATAGTCTACCATTTCTAAACCATAAAATTCAGGCCTTGTAGGCAATTAATGGCAGATTTTGGRACTGATGTAAAGAGAGATTCAAAAGCCTTGTAAATAGGAAGTAAGTACTGTTTGTAGGCAAGTTAAAATTTCCTGAAAGGAAAAAAAAAAAAAAAAAAACCTAAAAAACCCAAACCTAAACAACCTAACAACTCCNCCACTAAAAAACCCAAACCTAAACAACCTAACAACTCCCCCCCAAAAAACACACCCCAGAAAAATACCCCCACACCACCATCACCATGAAAAAGCCCTCCAAGTTTCTTTCTCTATTAAAAAGATTCCTTAAAACACACTTCTATAAAAGTGAACAGAATGTAGAATATAAGTCGTCAGCCAAAATGACAAAATTGTTTATCACCAYCACCTAGACTGAGCTCCTACACCAGCCACACTAAAGTTATTAMCTGCAGTCAAAACAGGCTTGTCACTGAACAAATGAAAGTGTTTTAGAAAGGTGCAAGTCGTTTATTTAAAGTAAATGCATAACACTCCAAAATTAACAGTTGCAGAGGTTATTTACTCACATTATTAAAAACTTGAGCTGTATTTTTAGCTTGCATTTTCCAAGGCAAATTTTTAGTCTTTGTGGTTTTTTGTATATGAGATAGTTTGTGTTGGAGGAAGTTGTGRATAGCAGAGATGCCCATCTTAGAAATGCTGTAGGAGAATTGTGCTTAACTCTTTAAATAAAAAATGTGGTCAATATCTATTACTTAAGGATCAATGAAGGTCAGAATACTCACATTTTCTCCCCATCCTAACACTACCCTTTCCTTCCCCCAGGCTACTCTTTAACTGATGCTGATTTCCTTCTGTCAGCAGGAGCAGAGGAAACTGAAAACATTTTACTTACCTCTTAACACCCTTAAATAGTTCTGAATAATGGACAATAACGTTATTGAATCTTTTTGTGATTGATTGCTTGTACCTTAGTTACCTGTGAGTTCAAGTTATTCTCCTGCTATGTCTGAGAACATGATTTTTAACTTAGTAATATATAATTTTAACATATGTGTATTACTGTAAACTCCACCAGTCTTTTCAGTATAGGATCATGGCAGGAACTCTGTCCTAAATATTTTGCAGTTTAGCAACGCKGAAATAGAGAGACAGTTATAGTTAAAAGGGCTAAATATAAAACTTGGAGTTAAAGCCAAATTATATTGTAAAATAATATAGTTACAAGTCAAGATTTAAAAAATTGTACTTTTTTTTTTTTAATATAGAGTAAAAGCAGAAATACCCACAGTGTATTCTTAAAAGGACAGTAAAAGTGAATTTGATGATCACTATCAAGCTTGGTTTAGAGTACTTTTGGYTCCTGGTGTCCATGACCTAGCTTGTATATTACCCTTCTGCAAAACATCCTGTATAAAGYCGTGTCAATTGTCAGGTGCCAGAGCAAACCTGGTTGCAGCTGTGTTGTAGATGAGGATTTGTACTTCATAAAGCACAAAGTGCTATGRGATTGATGGTGCCTKAGACACCAGCTGGTTYTAACCAGGCAACCAAACCATTTTAGGCCAAGGAAATCCACCACCAAAGAGCACAAACATGGAAACAAATAAACATTTGAATGTCTAAAATGAAATTGGAGACATGCAGATTTAACTCCTTCCATAACCAGAACAGGAATGAAGAAATGCATGATCTTTCAGAGCAGCAACTTGTTCCAGGAATGCTGTGCCTGGGAGCAAGAGGTTTTTTTACCATAAACAATCATTGTCCAGGTTTGATGTTTTTCTGCCGCAGGATGGACTTCTTAGTGGAGAGAAAGGGAATATGWAGCTCAATCACTGCTTTCTGACAGCTTGAGGTATTTTTCTCCRTTTTATTTTTCTGTATACTAAGTATAAAAAGTACAGTAGTATATAGTGTTTTTGTAAAATACTTTCTACCACAGGTGGCAAAGATTTCATTAAAATTTATAAATTATGAGGTGAAAMAAAGAGAGTTCTCTGAGATTCATTATTTCTGATGTAACTGATGAAGTTCAGGGAGTTGCATGAGGATGAATTCAGCACAACAAGCTTTGTCCTGCTTAGGGCAAAGCACATCATGTGGCCTGGCTCGTGGTAATTTCAGCTATTCCTTAGCAAGCTCAAGCAAGTAGCTCRCTCAATCAGGTAATAGATCTCATAGAAAATAACAGATCATATATTAAGGCTTGCAAAATGACGTTTTATCACAACAAAATATCAACTAGTAATTCATTACATTCCTACAAGCAACTCAAGAAGTGTTCCGTTTATAATTACAGCTGTGCTGGATTACAGCAGTTAATTAATTTGCATATATTTCTTCAGCTATTCAGCTTTTCACTTTGCAGTTAATATTGCACCTTCCTTAATAAAAAACTTATTTAGGACTTCAGAAGAAACTTAAAATTCAGCAAAAATTAATATTTCAAAGTCCACTAATTTTTAAGGCATTCAAGATTATTTGGAACTTGACATTAAAGATCATCTCAGCTAAGGCAAGTGATGGACAACAGAAACTTTTTAATTACCTGGGCAATGATTTTAAGGAAATACTGATTAAAAAGTGT